AATGTAAAGTCACCTGTTTTACGTCTCTCTTGGGTGCACACGTCAGCGGCCCTTGCGCAGTCATTCCACTGCCCATCACCAGGACCGTTTCATCTTTCTGAACTCAAACTGCGGCACTGAACAGCACTCACCATCCCTCTCCCCACCGCCCCTGGCAACCACCATTCTGCTTCCCGTCTACAAACGGAAATACCTGGGCATCTCACATAAATGGAGTCATTCGACATCTGTCCCTCATTCCAACATTTCTGTCCTACAGCTTTCGGCGTCTGTTTGTACCTGTGATTCCTTTTAAAGGCTGCTTTATATCCACGCATGAGGCACTTACTGGCTTACTTCCTGACAGTCACCTGCCATCTCCAATCTTCAATGACAAGGGCCGCGTGCACGTTACACAAGCACTCTACCACGCGCTGCATTCCCAGCAGTCACAACCCAATTTCTAAAAAATGAGCAAAGGAAGCAGAGCTTGGTGGTGCACACCTGTGAGAGGCTGAGGCAGGAGGATTACTGCGAGTTTGAGGCCAGCCTGGGCTACAAAGTGAGCTCAAGGCCAGCCTGAACTGCATAGAGAGACCCTGTCTCAAAAAGACAAAAAGACAAGAAAACTTCCTAGAAGCAGAAATGCAGAAACAGAGCACATATTAAAAGGCTGCACCCTTTGCTTCACTCTGACCCATAACGCATGTGAGACGCGGCTCGTTCTGGAGCATGGCGGTAACATTCTACAGCTGCGAAATCAGCCAGGCAGGAAGGGAAAACCGTTCCACAGAGCTCCTGGAGGTCGGAGTGGAAGGACAGAGGCAGAAGGAGGCGGGGTTCACGGGAGTCTGCTCAGGGTAACAGCCTCCCTCGCACTACCTTTCTGAAGGAGCAAATGGAGACGTTGTTCTTACATAAGAGAAACACGTATGACAAAGGAGACTTCTGACAGAAGAAGTGTAAAGCTTTATAAAAACTGAGCTTTAGCTCTCCAGCCGCTTTGTTAGTTTCATACCACAGACATGTTTCAGGCAACTTGGCAAGTTTGTAAGCTGTTTGTTTGTTTGTTTTTCTTCCAGTACCAGGAATCGAACTCACGACCTTGCGCTTGCCAGGCAGGCACTGTGCTGCTGAGCTAAATCCCCAGCCCCTCAAACTTGTAAGTTTAGTATTTGGTTATCTTGCTCGGAATGGTGCTGCTCACCTGTAATCTCAGCACTCAGGAGACTGAGGCAGGAGGATCACCTAGAGTTCAAGGCCAGCCTGAACTACATAGTGAGACCCTGTCTCAAAAGAAAAAAACGGATTCCCTGAAGATGTAAAAACCCAAAGCAGAGGGAGAACCACTGTCCTCACAGTCCCGAGCCTGGCGTGTTCTGAAGGAAGGTGAAGACAGCAGGATCATCCCTGCCACAGCTGCAAACCCAGGAGGCCAGGACTCAGGCCACACGAACACCTGTCCACCGCTGCCCAGCCTGGGCTTCTTTCTCCTGGGTCTCTTGGGGAATGCGGGCTGACAATCCCCAGGTTCTGGGACCCGCAAGGCAGAAGAGCTGCTGCTTCCAGACATGTGTCCCACGTGGCATGATTTAAGGTAAATCTCCTACCCCATGGCATATGTGGCAGGGCGCAGGGCACCCTGCCTTCTCCCCTGCACCACAGAGCCTTGGCCCTGCCACAAAACACTTAAGGAAGAGGGGATGGCACTAAAAGCTTGCTGACATTGGGGATCAAACTGGAGGGACGAGGCAGATATTGGACCTTCACAACAGAACAAACTCGTCTTGTTCACAAGGTCAGAAGTAACAATACTAACGTGCGCTGCAGATACAGACATAAAGGTGGGATCAAGCACTCGAGAAATGTTACGACTCGCACACACACTGAGGAGTTATCTATGAAGAGTCAAGGCTTCTGTAACTGTGAACCTCTTAGGAGTACAACAGCAGAGAAAGAGTGATGAAAAACACAAGGCATAGGACACCCCCTCCTGGAAGTCAAGAGTCCAAACCGCCTCCCACTTCCACAGGGAGAATCCAGTAGCCCTGAAACCAGTGGTGGAGAACCTTTAAAAAGGGCTGGGGAGGTAGCTCAGCACAAAGGGCCTGGATGGGGCTCAATCCCAGAAGCATAAAAAATAGCCACCAGGGCCAAAACGTCTCAAAACACACAGTGGTCCGCAAAGGTCAGCGCATGGGAAACTCACCCAAACTGTTGCTTTAACAGGTAAGTTACAAGAAAAGTAGAGCAAGCATATATAAATCGAGACAAAAGAACAACTTCAATCAAATTCTGTGTGCAGAATCCTGATCTGAACACATCATCTCTTAAAAACTATCCAGTAAACATGACAATTTGAAAAAAATTAAAGAATTAGCATTTTTTAAGGTAGAATAATGGTACTACTGCAGACTTCATGGTTAGCTTTTTCTTTTAGAGTCACACACTGAAATATTTATGATAATATTTCAGGAAAGGGTGGTGGCACACCCCTGTAATCCTAGCACTTGGGAAGTTGAGTCTGGTGCATTGCTTCGAGTTGGGAGTATGAGGCCAGCTTAGGCTACTGAGCAAAACTGCTTTTAAAAAATTTTTAAAGGGGCTGGGGATTTAGCTCAGCGGCAAAAGCGCCTGCCTGGCAAGCGCAAGGTCGTGAGTTTGGTTCCCGGTACCGGAGAAAAACCAAAAAAAAAAAAAAAAATTTTTAAGGCCGGGCATGGTGATGCACGCCTGTAACCCCAGCGCTGGGAGGCTGAGGTAAGAGGACTGTTGCAAGTTCAAGAGCGGCCTGGGCTACAAAGTGAGTTCAAGGCCAGCCTGAACTGCATAGTGAGACTCTGTCTCAAAAAAAAAAAAAAACTTAAAAATTAAAAAAATTACAAAAAATAATTTTTTAAAAAACAACATTCTGAGGGGCTGCAAAGCCCTGGGTCTGATCCCTTGTTTGACCACACTGTAACACAAACATTTCTGAATACGCTTCCTTAAAAATTCAGGTTTTGCTTTATTTTTTAAAGGCAAGACAGTAGCTAGAGAGTGGCATGGAGGGTCATGCAGAGTATACAGGAAACAAGATTGGCTAGAAATTAGTTAACTTCAGAAGCTGGTGAGGAGTGACAGAGCCAAACCAACTATGCATTATTTTGGCAAACTGTCTTTCCTTCCAACTCTGAGGTGAACTCTAAATTCAACCCCTGGGGAAAAGGCCATTTCCCTGCCATCAGACTATACTACAACACACCACTACTATTTGTTACTTGCATTAAATAGTACGCAAAGAGACAAAAATATGCCTTAAAAGTATCATCATGTGAGAACAATGATTTAATTTGTTTTTGAAGACAATCATCAGGGCCGGGGATGTAGCTCAGTGGCACAGCACCTGCCTGGCAATCGAGAGGTCCTGAGTTCAATTCCCGGTACCAAAATAAATAAATGAATAAAGACAATCATCTCACCATGTCAACTAACCTCACTTTAAAGGCAAATTCTTCCCCAATGCAACCTCTCTCTCTGGGCCAAACAATGGAAAATTTTCACCTCAGCAAGCTGGCCTCAGGGAGGCTCAAGCTCATCCGCGTTGCCTAGATTCAAGTGACATCTCTGGAGCTTACAGAAGGCTCCGGTATCCCTCTGCAAGAGATGGGCTAAGGTTCAGCAGCAGCAGCAGCTGCTCCTCCCTGGCACATCCACTGCTGGAGCAGATGCAGGACTGATATAGTATTCCGTCACCGAAGCACCTACGGGGGTGCAGAGAAGTCTATGACATCTGCTAAACTGGTTTCCACAATTACAGCAACTCCAGTCCTAGTTCCTATCCACCTGATTTCTAACCACGTCTGTGGGTTTCTACTCTACGGTCACAAAGCAAGTAAACCAATCCGAAAGACCCTTAATAGGTCTACTGACGTTTTTCGAAAGAAAAAGTTTTTAGACAATGAACTGGCCTGTTAAGGTCAAAATGATAAAGTACCATTTTATCACCACCACCCTGAAATTTCTCTTAATACCAAGTTACAGGATGCAATTATACCAAACCCTACGGCAACAACAAACATAAATAAGCATCTTAGTTCACTTAAAATGTTATCCTGCAAATACATATAGCAAACATTTAAAATCGCACGCAACAAAATTACTGTCATCATGGGCTTTTACTTTAAAAGACTGTAAAACTGTAACCTGCAACGTATTTGTGAATCTTCAGAACTTTCAGTACTTTTCCTTAAAACCATTCTTTCAGGTGGTCTTACTTTAGTATTCTTCCACGTACACGTCATTAACAAAATGTTTACTTCCTAGCAGTGATTAGCTCTATCTCACACGGCATTTAAGAGCACGAGATTTTACTGGTTTTTACCTTTCACCTTCACTTATTTTTCTGCTAGGACCACTTCACTGATATTTGAGACAGAGTAAAAAAAAAAAAATCGCAAAATGAAACGAGTCATTAGAATGCAAAAGACAAAAGCAGTCTGTACTCAAATGCGAAAAACATGAAAAGCTCCACTCACGGTGGAATCAGCCGTGGAACGAAGGCACCTTCTGATCCATTTTAAGGCGTTTTTAAAAAGAACATTAAATCACTTCCCCATCCAACCCCAAGTGACACCCAACGCGCAAGATGGCTGAGGTCTGAGGGCGCAGGTGCCCGCACCTGGGCGCCGGGCGGACCGACGCC